GTCTGCTCTGATGTCTCACATGTGCTGTCCTCAGTGTCTGTCTGCGTACAGGAAGAGGTGGAGCTTTACTGGAGTATATCTGATTGACTCTGTCACAGTAGTTATAAAACAGACACAGTTAGAGTCTTTAACACAAGTGCCTGATAATAATACAGCATTATTATTATTATTATTATTATTATTATTATTGACTTAAAGCCCATTATGTAACTTTTCCTCCTCACAATCAGCTTCAGAATCATGCTGATGTTACACTGACTGTAACAGGGTGATGCTTCCTCTGTACTCCTGTTCTTGCACTGTGGAACTTTGGTCTGCGGGTCGGGACGAGTGTGTAACGCTTTACGGCACTAAGGCACACACCACCAACTATGTGACTGATTTTGGTGAAACTGGATCATATTTTATGGAGAAAATGTTTTCTGGTTTTCCCTCTGACGTCCTCCGACTGCTCCGCCCCTCATCCTCATCATCAACTTTCTCTCTGATGGCAGCACCACTGATTTAAACTGATTTAAACTGATTTATACTGATTTTAGGGTATAAATTTAACATTTTTCTCTCTTGCGTAACCCTTTCAGTTCCACCCACTGTTTAACTGCGTACAGGAACCGATCGCTCTATCTGGCTGCCAATCAGCAGATCAATATCTATGGTTTTTCTGAGCAGAATGAGCTATCACTCTTCCTGTGTGTTGCTATGGTGATCCAAACCACATGTGAGCAGTTTGCTTGTCCGTCTGAATATTTGGCTTTTATTTATTAGTTATGATGATTTAGTGAAGTTGCCCTTTGACCCCTGCAGAGTCAGAAAGCTTCGATTAGAGGAAAACCTGAGGAAAAGTGACTCTGAGGAAACATTAAGTTGTTGCACTTTATCAGTTTTCTCCTGTTGAGCAGTGATGGAAGAAGTACTCACATCTTTTACTGCAGTAAAAGTACTAATACCACAGTGTACAAATACTCTGTTACTAGTAAAAGCCCTGTATTTAAAATGTCACTGACAAATACATAGTGCTTCCTGTGACTGCTTCACAATAAAAGCACAAATTAGGTTTCTTGTGATGCTGTGCGTCTGGCGTCATGACGTCTCCGTCTTCTCCAGAACTTTCTACCTGCACTTGAGCCGCCAATTTCTCGGCTCCGACAACTTGGGAAGAAGATAGATACTGAATTACCACTGTCTCCATTGTTTTTGAAGGTAAATCAGAGGTAAAACGAATAATTTAATATGTTAGATATAAAATTGTCCAACTGTGTTGTTAAACGCCCGCTAGCATCCGGGACAGCTAGCGGGGCTAGCAACTCTCCTACTGCTGCATGGAGCTTCGCCTCATAGTAGTTTGGGACTCTTGGTTTTATATCGTAACGTTAGCTTACAGTTGTGTATTCATGAAGTGTGTTGGTGTTGGCTTAGTGTTAGTTATTCATTAGCATTAGCCCATTATCGCAACAAGCTGGGTCGCGGTTCTCTTCAGACTACTAGCATTTATACACGAGTGCTTGTTCACATGCCTGTCGGCGCGCACAGTTCATGCGGTCACGGCCATGGAGGATGTGTTGAGGTAATGTTAATTATGCTTAAACTTTGGTGCTTGCGGGAAGCAGGAATTTGCTACCACCTGCGTTGTTTTCAATGTACTTGACGTTAAGAGGGAGAGGGAGGGCGCGTACAGCGCTCGTACACGCACGGATCGGCTGTGGCAGAGGGAGTAGATGGTGTGCGGTGCCTCGGTGGCAGGGCTGCAGACTGCTGTATTCCCTGTCGTAAATCAGTTACCAGGTGCGAAACCCCACTGCACACGTCTCTTGCACATCGCGTACGCTAGATAGACGAACACTGTAAACATGATGAAAGACACAATGTGATTGTATATGATTGCACAAATTAACTCTAACATATCTTTAACCCTCAGGACTTCTGTACTGCAGAGCTTCCTTTCCTTCCTGTCAACCTCTCCAGAGGGGTGTCTGCTGATAGCGGAAGGATTACATGACCTCTGGTTGGGAACCTGGTCAGTTCCACAACCTTTGGCTTGTTGTCCAAATGTGACGGCTCCCCCCACCTGGCCTACTGTATTCTCAGCTCTCTGACTTCTTGTACCTCAAGAGGGACAGTCCTGTGTAGAGGCGTGCCAGGCAGCTAGTTTTATCTGTGAACCTACGTATTTTTACTTCATCAACAACAAAGGTATGCAAGCCCAAAATAGTAATGTCTCATTTTAACTAATTCAGTTTTACACAGCACATATGGAAGTGAATCGTGACCAAAATTTAAATTTAAATGCATTTGCAGAAATGCTTTTCCATTTTAAGAATGTGGCTGCATTATCTGACTCGTAAATAAAATTAATAATCAATCATCCTATTTGCATTTTAATTTTCTTCTCCAAGACTGCTCATTCTTTTACTTAATTAAAATGAACAACAAAGTTAAAGTAACTCTTTTCCGGAAGTTGATTTTTTAAATTCTTTTGTGGAGTTAAAACTGAACACTTGTGGGAGTTACAAAACTAATCCCATGTGGGGTAAAATACAACTCTCACCTGGAGTTAATTTTAATGTGAACTCTTTCATGGTGTTAACAGCCAACACTTAAAAATATGTTTTTATTAAACACTTTTCTGAGTTAATATTTAAAAACACCAAAAATATTTTAGGTGAAAATGACAACAAAAAACATTGATTACCGCACATTTTTATTTTAAATCCATGTGTGACATTTTGAATTACAAACTGTAAACATTTTACAGCAAACCAACCAGACATATTCACATTTAAAACAAACTGCTTTAACAGCAGCTAAACAGTTGGAACAGGCAGTTATTTCAAAAATCATGTCAGTACCACATCTTTCTGTAGTGCATAAGAGAAAAGTGCAGAAAGTGCATAGTAAAAAAGCATTGCACAAATGTCTGACAGGATAACAAAGAACTTTTCTGTCATGCAGGAATGTATTAACATGAGGTAAACTTTAAACCTGTAATTTAAGTACATAAACATGTACATAAAAACAAGGGTGAATTCCATATAGCTAATGTTAATACATTAAATACTACAACCCTCTGACATACAAATGTGAATCACACATCAGGCACACATATCTTTGCTGTGAGTTGACACTGAAGGGCCTGCCTCAATAATTTGAGATGAAGTAGAGGGTGTTCCATCATTTAGGCACTGAGAATTATTGTGCTGTTGGCTGTCATGGCCAGAGGGGGTCTCAGGAGGCACACAGGTGTTATCACTAGAAGCATGTATCTTAATCAAGTGTCTTCTAAATCCAGAATAACTTGAAAATTGCAAGCAACATCCTACTTGACCACATTTTATTCTCAAATTTTTCTCAGGGTACATCCCAACAAAAGTAACGCTGTACCAAAGGATGAAGCACAAAGGAAACATCTGAGCATTTTTGCTGGATAAGCTAATTACTGCTTGTTCAACAGCTTTGCTCTTAGCTCTTTGACTCTTGGAGTTTCTTCTGTTGTACCTATATCAATGTTGTACAGAGTAGTTTGCAAAAATGTGTACAGACTGGACAGAGCATCATCTTATTTCACACTGAAAACAAAGTGGGACTTGAACAACTCATCAAATGCACCAAAGGATGTACATGACTGACATGGAAGAAGCTTTCTATCCAAGACTATGTAGAAGCTGGAAACCTGTGCTTTAGAAGTCCCTGAGGCCAGAAGATATGACATATGATGGAATAAAATGTGCAGCTAAGAAGAAAATGCAAATGCAAATAGGATGATTGATTACTTATTTTATTTAGTCAGATAATGCAGCCACATTCTTAAAATGAAAAGGTATTTCTGCAAATGCATTTAAATTTAAATTTTGGTCACGATTCGCTTCCATAAGCACAGGGATCAGCTTTATTTATATATATATATACAAATAAAGGATATGGTGTAAAAATAAAAAATCCCCCATTGAACAAGACAATACTTAAAGTCTGATGCCAAAAATGTGTTTGACATCCCCTCAAACCCCTGGAATGCCACCAATTAAGTATTTACAACTTCCAATTTTAGGAAAACCCTGGATTTTCTTTTTTTTTAGACTACAACTCCCTAAACCCCTCTTCAGTACTTGTGTTGACATCAGCATCCCAGTTGTAGTTTCTCCGTTTTAGGGTTGTGCTAGGCAGGGCCGGCCCAAGCCTCCATGGGGCCCTAAGCAAAATTTGATTTTGGGGCCCTCTATTACTGCCAATAATAATGATTATTGATCATTCACACACCTACTATAAACGTATTCTACTTATTCTACTCTGTCATTACGAATACACTTGTAAACACGTCTAAATGTGAGAACTTTTTGTTGTCGTTAGATTGTAATCCACAGTGATTAATGCCATGGAAGCAGACACCAGATTTGCAAATTTACAGAAAAATCTTTCAATTAATATTTAGCAAAGTCAGCAACTCTCCCTACTGGCCACACAGAGAATCAATACATAAAACCTCAAAGAGCAGCCCGGCATGTTTTACCCATCTATGGTTTTTAATCTGAAATGGTAGTAAATTCAGCTACAAGAGCAGCCTGGGGTTGATTAACACTTAATATTCAAAATGATATAGTACTAAGTGGGATACCGAATGTCATCTAGGCCAATTAAAAGTAACAAAATAAACTAATCGTTTACTGTAAACACAATCTGCTTCATTATTTTTTTTTAAATAAACTGCAACACCAAATGTACAAAAACAGACAGCATTAAATAAAATAAATTTAAAAAATATCAGACAATACTTAAATACTTAAATAATGATGTAAATCAACAGGCACCTAAAACAAGGTAACACAACAAATGGTAAATATAATTTATTTTTTGAATATGTGAGCCAGCTCCGCTTTACTTTTTCCCCATTTACTAGGTGTCTGTATGTGTGATGATGGTGGAAGCTTCGGCCATCGTGTCTTTTTGGGAATGTGAATGTGTCCTTTTTATAGGCAGTGGCCCTCTTAATACCTGTCCTCAGTCCTTTCTGAGTCTGACAGGAAAGAGGGACACTCAGCTGGGTCAACTGGCGGAGCTGCTGATCCCTGCTCCAAACTGGATGCTGAAGAAGACACATCAATCTCCATGACCAAAGATGAAGGACCTATAGGGAAATTAAAATAATATTTTTGGACAAAATTATTCATCTCAGAATATTCTGCAGTGCACTGATCAATTATAAAGGCTGTTTAGTTGTTAATTTACCAGGTACAGCTGAGGTTGCAGAGAGGACAGTGGGCACAGTGGATGGAGCAGAGGATAGAGATGGACCTGAGATGAAAAACATGTCCCTTGTCATATGATTATATCTTATATTAGTATATCTTAATGAGATCATTTGACTAGAAATTAAATATATATGGTGACAGTGTTTGATCACCTGATTCATCAGCCTTGGCTGCTCCTGAGGAGGTGGATTGCCCCTGGGCTGAGTCAGTGCCTCCTCCTAAATACTTTAAGAGTGCTCCTGGGGAAGTTTCATATAACGTATGAGCATAATAGGGAGTTGATGTAAAAGGAATATGTTTATTTACTCACATAAATTACTGTGCTCTGCAGCAAACAATTGCAACATACCTCAAACTATAAGTTAACTAAATTAATTCATTATTGCAAAACCATATTGCTAGCAAACATCACCGCGTTTGTAATTAACGTTAGTTATTAAACATTTGCTATCAAACGTTGTTATCAAAAAATGTTTTGATGCCAAAAAGTGACCCAGAATAATATAAATACACTGAGAATCAATTTATTCAAAGTATTACACAAACACAACAACGTTAGCTTGAATAGTAAATTATCTAACCTATATAATCCTATATAATCTATATAATCCTATCTAACCTATATAATCCTATCTAACCTATATAATCCTATCTAACCTGCATAATCCTATATAATCCTATCTAACCTATATAATCCTATCTAGCCTATATAATCCTATATAATCCTATCTAACCTATCTAACCTATATAATCCTATCTAACCTATATAATCCTATATAATCCTATCTAACCTATCTAACCTATATAATCCTATATAATCCTATCTAACCTATATAATCCTATCTAACCTATATAATCCTATCTAACCTTTATAATCCTATATAATCCTATCTAACCTATATAATCCTATCTAGCCTATATAATCCTATCTAGCCTATATAATCCTATCTAACCTATATAATCCTATCTAACCTATCTAACCTATATAATCCTATCTAACCTATATAATCCTATATAATCCTATCTAACCTATCTAACCTATATAATCCTATCTAACCTATATAATCCTATCTAACCTATATAATCCTATATAATCCTATCTAACCTATATAATCCTATATAATCCTATCTAACCTATATAATCCTATCTAACCTATCTAACCTATATAATCCTATCTAACCTATCCAACCTATATAATCCTATCTAACCTATATAATCCTATCTAACCTATCCAACCTATATAATCCTTTATAACCTATATAATCCTATCTAACCTATATAATCCTATCTAACCTATATAATCCTATATAATCCTATATAACCTATATAATCCTATCTAATTTATATAATCCTATCCAACCTATATAATCCTATCTAACCTATCTAACCTATATAATCCTATCTAACCTATATAATCCTATCTAACCTATATAATCCTATATAATCCTATCTAACCTATATAATCCTATCTAACCTATATAATCCTATCTAACCTATCTAACCTATATAATCCTATCTAACCTATCCAACCTATATAATCCTATCTAACCTATCCAACCTATATAATCCTTTCTAACCTATATAATCCTATCTAACCTATCTAACCTATATAATCCTATCTAACCTATATAATCCTATATAATCCTATATAACCTATATAATCCTATCTAATTTATATAATCCTATCCAACCTATATAATCCTATCTAACCTATATAATCCTATCTAACCTATATAATCCTATATAATCCTATCTAACCTATATAATCCTATCTAACCTATATAATCCTATCTAACCTATCTAACCTATATAATCCTATCTAACCTATCCAACCTATATAATCCTATCTAACCTATATAATCCTATCTAACCTATCCAACCTATATAATCCTTTCTAACCTATATAATCCTATCTAACCTATCTAACCTATATAATCCTATCTAACCTATATAATCCTATATAATCCTATATAACCTATATAATCCTATCTAACCTATATAATCCTATCTAATTTATATAATCCTATCTAACCTATATAATCCTATATCTAACCTATATAATCCTATCTAACCTATCTAACCTATATAATCCTATCTAACCTATATAATCCTATATAATCCTATATAACCTATATAATCCTATCTAACCTATATAATCCTATCTAATTTATATAATCCTATCTAACCTATATAATCCTATATCTAACCTATAAGAGAGAAGTAGTAAGACGTTTTGAACTAATGAGAGCTAGCAAATTTGCTATTATAGGCTAACGTATTTGGCACAAAATATCGACAAATGTTACATTACCAAGAAATACCTTTATCTTGTCGTTTTTTCTCCTCTTCCCCTTCCTTCCTCTTCCTCTTCCTTCCTCTTCCTCTTCCTGCCCCTGAAGGTAACGTTAAGTCCTTTGTTGTGACATCATTCACCTGCTCCTAGCTCCTGGATGCTCAGTGCACACGGCACTGCACGGTTGGGAGCTCTGCACACGTTACTAACGGAGCTCTGACAGTTCGAGCAGAGAGGCAGTAGGAAACTACACTCTGTTAACATCATGTTGTTGTTGGGTTTTTATGGACAAGAATGTACATTTGATAATATATGAATCATCATCACTCACACATGGAAAAAAATAATTAATTACTTTTTTCTTTTTTAAGTTAATTGCTCTTGGGGGCCCCCTAGTGGTCACGGGGCCCTAAGCAGCTGCTTAGTTCGCTTATGCCTTGGGCCGGCCCTGGTGCTAGGGTTGTGAAAACATATCTACCCAATATATCAAATATCACACACTGTCTAATAAATAATTATACTGCATGTATATGATCTATGCTAAGAAAAGACAACAATGTTTGTTTAATGAAGATATTTGAACTAAAACAGGAGACCAGCGCGCCAACTGCTCTGCTTGTGTGACGCAAAGCGGACTGACCTCATCTCCATAGTAACGGCCAATAATGCTTCTTCCACTATGAAAATTAAAAAAAAACACACACAGTTATTTTTCATAACTGAAGCCGTGATTATTAAAACCGACATGTTTGACGTCAATCTACTGTAGTGCTATGTTATAAAACACAAATATCTTTAAGACAAGAGATATTTAATTTTCCACTTAATGTTCCCCGTTTTTGTTTTCCCGACAGGAACCTCGAGAGTCACATGATTGAGACACAAAACAAAACATAGGCAAAAATGTAACAATCACACAATTTGCGAGAGAAGTGACATTTCCCCTCCGACACTATCTTTTTAACATCGGGCTTGACAGCTGTTATGTTATGTCAATGTGTGTTGATCCGAACATGGTGAGCACATGAATGGCCAATGTCTTCAGTGTGTCATACTTTTGGGGACAAGCCACCCAAAAGGCGCTCAAGCTTTCAGCACCACGGAGAGCAGCCTTCATGTCCCCAGCGGCCTGGATGTCAATCAGTTCGCTGTGATTGGCCGCCACGTCACCTTCCCCACGTTAGCAGTTGACAGCCTCATGAATATGAAGCCTAAAATATTGCTTGCTATCTTACAGGTAATATGAGTCTGTTAACACTGACAAAGGCTAAAAAATAACATACATTTCAAAGGCAAATTGATATATGAAATAATAATATATTACTTAGGATACAATATTCATTTTAATTTTACAAGCGCACCTGGCCCTGATAGTGAAAAAAATTCTGGCCATTGGACAAGTGCAGTTGATGACCCCTGCCTTAGAATATAGGCCTAATGCTTACTACAGACTTACCTGAAAGGAACCACTCACACAATGGGATAAAACAGGAAACTGCCTTAAATGAAAACTATTGATAAAACAAACAAAAGAGACATGACTATAGTTGAAACAACGGTTCACTTTACTGGGTGAAATTAATAAAGTAGGCTTTCTAGAGCTAAGAGACTATGCCCTGTTCAAAATAAAGATATATAAAAAAATATATATATATCTTCAGATAGAGAAGCTGTATGCCTATGTGAGTGAGAGAGAGAGAGAGAGAGAGAGAGAGAGAGAGAGAGAGAGAGAGAAAAATAAGTAAAAAATAAGGCGAAAAAAAGACAGGGAAATTTGTTGAAAACTCCAAACCACCTGTTCGGATCATTCCACTAGTAAACATGTTCATTAGTAACAGGTGATAATCTCATGATCATGCTTTGTCCTATTTATGCACCTACAGCGAACCCACTCATACACAACCCTGCCCTAAACTGCTTACTGCTGTGAGTGTACTACTACAATAGAGAAATAAACCCTGACAGGATGAGATAGAACCCCAGTGCTTCACGAAGGGGTTCTATCTCATCCATTTACAAATTACTGCATTCTTTTTTTTGCATATTGCCCAGTGTCTTATAATTTTTTACATCAGATTCCATATGTACATCAAGAAGCATTGTGGTCACTGATGGCAACTTCCAAGGCTTTCTTCTCAACAGACTTGTAGTAAACCTACTTCAAAAGATGTTGGTTTTTTTTAAATAAATGGCGTTGCTATTTTTACTATGTATAAATCAGTAGTGAATACATTTTTTCACAAATCTGCATTACTAGTGGCCTTTTCTGCTCTCACCAGACTGACGATACAGCTGAAATTTTCGCTGTTTGATGCCCAAATGTAGCCCCTCGATGGTCCTCTGCAGGTCATTTTGGATTGTTGCTCCTTTGGACGACAACAAACAAATTAATTCATGCCCACCTCAGTTTACAATCAGCCTCTTTTCAGATCCCCTGTACAAGAACAGAGCCAAATGATTCTTTAAAATATGCCATCAAATAATTTTTTCAAAGTACCTGAGGTCCACCCACTGCTGGACTGTGTCTTGCTGTAGAGATAACTCAGCGGTGAGTTTCTCCAGGTCCTTTGTTGCCGCTGTAATCCTTTGTACAGTCCGTCCGAAAGAAATATCTGTATAAACAAATGCTGAGACACAATTTAAAAACAAAAATGTTATTATACATATTTGCTTAGTTAGTACCTTGATGTATCTTTTGGCCAGTGTCCGGTCAAGGTGTTCTGCCTTCGCTTGTTCCAGCCACTTGGATGGATTGTAAGCATGTCTTCGCGAACTTGACATATGTGCAGTAATTTAGTGCTGTTAGTTTTCTCTGGAGTTGGACACCTGCAGAGATTTGACTCCACCTCACCACGAGGAAGCACTCTATTGTAGAGAGGTGCTACACCTTCTGGTTTGGTCTATGTGGAGAAGGATTCATACTGCAGCATGATAACGACCCCAATCACACCTCAAAGATCTGACAGTACCACTTGAAGACAAAAGACAATAAAAAATAGCACTACATTCAAAACAAACAAAAAATATGTTGGCTTGTGGTCTCAATTTGGACACAACTATACATGAAAAATGCTTACCGGCTTTTGACATGTACTTGGAACATATGGCTGCTCGGGAGGAGAGGCTGTTAACCTGTTCAACCTCCTCCCCGATTGTTGTTCCAGCTCCTTCTTGATTGCGTCTCCCCCATTCTAACTATAACACATTAACATGAATGTTATCATTTGGAAAACAAAAAGTAGGAGCAGAGGACAGACAATCATAATGTGTGGTACAAATGATAAGAAATACATCTAATTGTCATTATTGCCTCACACATCCATGAATGCGCTTTTGCATGCATGATGGAGAGAAATAGGCGCATGTTCAGCAAGTCCTCCAACTCTGGACAGTGGTCCACAACTCTCTGCAGATATGGCCAATATTTGCAGACCACATCAGAGCAAAAAAAAAAAACTGGACGGTCTGTGAAGCTAGCTGTTACTGGAGATACAATGGGTATGCAAATATTTCTCAACGGAACATATTGAGTCCCTTCAGCAAAACCCCATGACGGCAGACAGCAACTTCAACACCTTCCTCATCTAGTTTGCTTGCAGACTTGTTGGCGGACTCTCGTGCTGTGGTCCACTGACCCACACCACATCTCCCTTTCCCTGGATTCTTAAACAGATGAGGGCAAATACAGACATTTACACAGTTCAATTTTACAAAATGAGCTGTAAATCATGGTATTATGGCATTTGATGCAGTAATGCCACTCTATTACTTAAATAAACCAAATAATGTTTACATTTTGAAAAAACCGGCAAGCATTCATAAAAAATTTAAATTGTGGTGTTACACATGAAGAAATATAAATTTAGCTTACATGTCCAGTTGTTCCATGGATGTAATCAACAAAGGAGGACACCTCAGTATCAAAAAGACTACATCAAAAAACCCATCAGGTCTTGAAAGAAATATATAGATGTGGGTTACATTAACAGTATAAAAGTAATTTGTGACTCACTAGCATTTCATTGTCAATGAATGTTACACACCCTGGTTGGCTTTCGAAATGATATAATTTGCGGTTCCCATCCACTGCAACTGCCAACATGGAGGGTGTGCATGCAGGGCACTGAAAATGCTGGACCTGAGACAGCTTGTCAACCTCAAATTTGGCATAGGCCCATTCGAGGAAGGCCCTCTGCATCGTATCCCCACATATCTTACCACTCTGAGAGCAAAAGTGAAAAAACAAAACAAAACAAAACAGTAAGTAACCCTGCAGTTAGTACACAACTGACAATGTGTTGAAGGTTGGCTTCAGACCGTGGTCATGACCAAAGAAGGGCTCTGTGAGGAAATGTGTGCTGAAACTTTGGGGATTGTAAGAACAAGTCCTAACAATGAATCAGTTATTTAAAAGGTGATCCAAACAAGATAACTTAAATGATGAATCCACTCACTCGCCCGAAGAGTTTTGTTCAACACTAGAGCATGCTGACAAAAGCTTGTCTCGACATCCCTGGGGCAGTGATTTTTAGGTCCGCATACGTGGTGAACAAGTCCACCATGTACAAGGTCTTAAAATTGACAGTGGCTGGCCAGTAACCACTTTCAACCAGATCACGTATGGTCACTGGCAAGGTTTTCCCACAGGAGCAGTTTACTGATGGAAGGAAGAGGTGGTATCTTCCTGAAATTTCAGAGAAAAACAATTATCTCTTGTTCACAAGAAACAAAAAACACAATATAAAGAAATAAATAAAAAAATGTTACCATTCATTCCAATTAAAATAACTGGCTTTCCCTTGGAAAAGCTTGTTTGCCCGGTGGAGCAGTCGCAGCAGGGAGGATTGGTAACATGCAATCTAAAAAGCAGAATTAGTTTACACATTAGAGTAAATGAAACCAAAAACTCAACAGTGAGGGTGTTGTTTCTATCCAACAAAACTTCATCCAGCATGTTTGTTGGAGTAAACCAGGGTATGTGTAAAATGTAAAACTATATACCTATATAACCTGAGACTGAAAAACGACCTTTTTCATGATAGGAGAATTTCCCTCCCTAATGCTGCTGAACAAAAGTGGACGGCGGCAGGTGTCTGGAGAAATCCCTCCACCATGGATGCTCTGTTATGAAGCACCAGGGCCTCATGTGTGGAAAGGTCACAGGCTGTGCAGTAGAGTGATCACGGTAAACAGTCCCTACACATCACTACTGCAGCCTTGTGTCCACAATGATGGGAAACCCCCTCCTTGGGCTTCTCAGATGACAGCATATTGTTCACCATGAAGGGCCTCATCACTGCCCAATTCTCCAGAGAGGAAGTTTGCCTGTTCCTCCAGTGTGAGGGGAGAGGTTGTTCAGCACCATTTCCCACTGAGGGAGTCTGAAAATGAAAAGGGAAGAAGGCAATGGTAAATCTGGGCAATTACCACATAACAAATGAGGAAACAAGTATTAAGGAAAAAAGGAAAAAAAAACAAAACCTAAATTTTCGATGGTCACAGTGTCTCCAGTTGTGTCGGTAGACGGATCACAGGAGAGTTACACTCGCTGAAGAAACTGCAAAAATATGAATAACAATTTAGAACTTGCTCAATGAATAATGAATGCAACTACTGATGAAAAAACAAACAAAAAACCGATCAGTAGCTGAATCTCGCTTTCGTTTCTCCCGAGCTCTACATCTTTTTGGCAGAGGTTGACCATCTGTGTGGATCTGTGGATTTGTTTGACCCTCCTTTTTGTGTGTTCATGCTGATCTATCTAAATAAACAATTGAGCCACAGAATAAGCCACCACCCATATTACCACCGTTATAATATTACATTGTAAAAATTCAGTCTAATGGTTGTGGTCCTGTACTGTACTAACAGATCTACAAAACCCTTTCTACATAAAAAAAAAGAGAAGAAAGTGAGACATTTTGACAGAATATTGAATGAAACTCTCACTGGCTCTAATGTGTGAACTCAGCTCAGCACTATAGTTTGCATTTGAATAAAGACATTGAACCAGGTACTGTACAGTTGCACTTTGTTTGAAGTTTTTTCAGTTTTGCACCTTGATACTTCTTCCCTGCTATACCTCAGAGTCTATTATGGTCTTAGACCTTGTTATTAGCATGTAATTAGTATGCTTTTTCCACCACTAATATAATGTTATTTACCTTGCACTCATCCAGGAACGCATCAACCAGGAATATCCAAATCAATCCAATCCAACTTTATTTGTTAAGCACTTTAAAACAACCAAAGTTGACCAAAGTGCTGTACAGGAGAATAAATAAGACATCATAAATAAAAGACATAACAGCTCACATGAGGCGCAAAATTACATAAAATACAACAATTAAATGACAAGACATAAAACATGAGTAAAAATAATAGCCACGCAATAAAAAGCAATCAAAATAAGAAATTAAATCAAGTAAATAAAGTCGACATCTTACTAGGTGTCAAAGGCCACAGAGAAGAGATGGTTTTAAGACTGGATTTAAAATCAGACAGAGAAGAGGCCTGTTTAACGTTCAGAGGCAGATCATTCCATAATTTAGGAGCAGACACAGCAAAGGCACGGCCCCCTCTGAGCTTCTGCTTAGTTTGAGGCACACTCAGGAGCAGCTGATCATCTGACCTGAGAGAGCGGACGGGTATATAGGGGTGTGGAAGCTCAGATAGGTAGGGCGGGGCAAGACCAATCGGGGATTTAAAAGCAAATAAAAGAATTTTAAAATGGATCCTAAATTGAATAGGCAGCCAGTGGAGTGAGGCTAAAATGGGGGAAATGTGCTCATGTTCACGTGTGCCAGTTAAAAGACGTGCAGCAGCATTCTGTACCATCTGGAGACGGGGGATTTCAAAATTAAACACAGCGGACAAACATCCTATCATAACTCGTAACTTTGTCAACATTAGTTTCTCCCGCTGCCACGGAGTAATGTGTTGATCAGCAAATCAACCTCAGACGCAACGCATGTAGTGGGCGAGGGTTTGATCCGTCAGACAGAATCACAAACGGAGTCCTATGTGGAATCTGGGGCCACAGCTATGCTTGGCGATAGCAGCGTCCATAGCAACCAAAACGTTTCAGTTTCATAGAATTCTGGCGAGATCTGAAAAATCTTCGCAACAACGAGCAAGCGAGTGATTATGTACATTCACTGAGTGAATATTATGAAAATAAAATATATATTTCTCGCTAGAAATATAATCAAAGCGCATTTTTATGCAGAAACTAACTCAAAATATTGATTTTTTTTTACTAAAAATGAGAGAAATGTCCACTATGTTTTTGTTCTCACAGACGAAAAGTCACGTGACTTGGATGCAAAACAATTGGAAAAGAATAGTCAGAAAAAATGTAACAGTCATACAATTCAAGGGCCATTATTGTAACCCCTCTACGTTTTTGCACGTTGGACCAATGTAGCCAGGGTACGTTTTTATATGAGACTGGGTTGATAATTATACAATAAACTGTTCTGACAGTGTCTAACAGTGTGATTTAAAATTCTAAAAGAAGTATTCATATTTTTTCATCGCCATTGGTCAGCTACACTGTTCAAATGCATAATATTCATTGACTATAGCCGGTTAAAGAAGTTTCTGTATACTCTTGGCACTTAGTGATAGCACTTATGTGTTGATATTGTTAGACATATTTGTGTTAATACTTTGCTTTAAAAAGGACCAATGTGTAATGTGTTGGCCCAAAAGCTGTATTGGTCATTACATTTATACAGTAAAGTATTTTAAAAAAACATCTGATTTTGAGTTTCTTTTATATTTTCAGCCAACTTAAAATTGTAATTTTAGTTATATTAAACAAACCAAAATTTCATTTTAAGGTTTCTACAAAAAGTAATTTACACTAAACCATAGTATTAGGTTAGAAAATAGCTATATTTTACTTTTGGGTTATGCAAATTATTGAGTTGGAAAAACTGAAAACTTTAAGTTGACTTGCCTTAATATTAAGTTGGATTAATGCAAAATGTTGATTTGAGAACAATTGAATTATTAATGTGACTTGAATCAATTGTGTTCAATCTAACTTATTAACTTAATTTTAAATAACTTAATTAATTTAGTTCAATTAAGTTGGTTCAACTATTTTCTTTTTATAGTGCAGTAACTGAATGCAGGAGAGTGAACGGGAAATGGGAAACTGTGATTCTGATTGCATGATGGTTCGATTCCTGTCAGTCTGTCATGAGTCTGAGTCAGTGGAGGACTCAGCCCCGAACAGTGAAAAGTACTGCACAGAGAGATAATGACTGAATATAAACACATTGATTGGATGTTGCAGAAAAAATAATAACTGACTAAAAATAGAAATAAAACCTGTCTTTGATTTGATGAAAATGTGAAGAATTAAAACTTTACTGTGTACGATCTTACAGTGTTTTCCTTTTTTCCAACTTTCTCTCTGATGGCAGCACCACTGCTTTATACTGTTTTATACTGCTTAAAACTGATTTAAACTGTGTGTGTTTCCTGATGGTTCTCTTTGTTAAAAAAAGTTTTAGTCCATTAAAGGTGATGTTGACAGTGTGTGGTCTGCAGTTAGCTGTTAAATGGACAATCCTCTATAAATGTTTTAGACACATAATTAATTGCTATTTTCTAATGTATGTAGGCTGAAATTATATACACTGTAAACCCGGATAAGTAGAATCTACTTAAAAAAACCAAGGTAACTGGTTGCCTTAAAATTTTTAAGTAATGAAGCTTTAGTTGAATAAGTGAAGTGGACTACGTTCAATGTACTTGAGCCCATCATTGAATGGAATAGAACATTTAAGTTGAATCACAACAACAGCATGTCTTCATAAACCACCCTTGTTCGTCTTCATACAATATGTTGGGAAGTTGCAGTAAATATCAATACAATATGTTCTATATCCCTTTGTGTTGTGTCTCTCCTTCGTCTGTTAAGATAACTGAACATTTTGTGAGTCTCGAGGCATTGTCAGCCTTTATATCTCATTTGTAAATCCTAATAAGCCATAGATAGTGCTCACTTTAGATGAGCTCACACAAAATACTTAATTAAGGAGTAGTAAGTGCTTTGTAACTGTGAATTCCTGCATTAATAACTGTTTATAGGCCATCATTAGAAAATGAATTTGTTGTGAGTTTTATAGAACATCTGCTAACACAGTCACTAATCATTAATACATGTCTGAATAGTGGATGTGCAAGTGCATGCAGAAATGTACAGTACAATGAAGAGTAAAACATTTATAACTGTGATTATAAACCACATAGTAATGACTATTTACAGCAGAATCATGCTTTATAAATGATGAATTCAGTATTTACTAATCCATAACTAATGTGCTTATCAATGATGAATAAAACATTTTTAACTGTGTTTATAAACTACATACTAATGTGTATTCATGCGTTATAAATGATGAATTCAGTATTTATTCATGCTTAACTAATGCTTAATAGTGTGTACTCATTATAAAGTGATACCCAATTTTGGAGTATGCCTCCTCCAGAGAAGTTTTTTTTTTTTCCAAACAACAATAACAATAAAAAAGAAACTATTAACACATGCACACCTTAAAATAATATGTACAAGGCATCTGACTTCTGTCACATCCGAAGCCTGGTGGATTGAGGGAGCAGAGACGACATCACACACTTAAAATAGGGTCCATA